TTTCTATACAACACTGACACTATAGTATTCCCTTGTCAAGAAAGAAATATGGAACATTTTAACTGACAAAGGCCACTGTATTTTTCAGAAGGCAATACGTGGAGACTAGCAACATTGCAATAAACAAGAACTATGCCAAGAAAAGTGATGGCTCAAAATAATTAAAAATTCTAGAATCCAAAAAGTCAAAACACCCAGACAATCTAGAACTAGAGCTATTTGAAACGTACTAGTCCCTGATAATTCCTCACTTAATGGGTTGTACTTCTGGTGTTTATAAAGCCAGGAAATTATCCATTTAAAAATTCAAGGCTTGAGCCAGGGTCATAGCCCAACAGCATAGCCCCTCCCTGGCAAGCACCAGGCCCTGAGCTTGATTTCCAGGGGAAAAAAAAAAAAAAAACCTAAATCTTTCAACAATAAGCTTTTAGTCAAAACTAATAGGACTAGCCTGGGCTACATAGAAAAAAAAAAAAATACTCTTTTTTTCTGATTGCTTCTCAGTATGGTGACACATGGCTGTAATCTCAGCACTCAGGAAGCTGAGGCAAGAGGAAGCTGAGGTTGATGCCTGGGCCACACAATGACACCTCATGTCACAAAAGGGGTGGGAACTATAACTGAATGTATCGCATGGTGCAGGCACAGTGGTGTGTGTAAGCCTGTCAGCCTGTGAATCCAGTGCTAGGGAGGCTGAGGCAGGAGAATCAAAAGTTGAAGGCCAGCTGCCAGGCTGACTACAAAGCAAGACCCCAGCTCAAATTAAAAACAAGTTAAGCAATTTTGTAAAGGAAGAACCTAAAAGCTGAAAGTACTTACAGTTGGCATTTTTCAAAGACTATTCAAATACTATTACAATATAATCCGACTTTTCAAAGACTATTACAACAAGAAGAGGTTGTAAAGATATAAAAGAAGCAATGGTAGTAAGAACATTGGTTAACCTAACTGAACTAGTCCTTGAACAGGGTGGCAGGGAAATCTTTCCAAAAGGATCTTGCGATGCAAAAAGACTCAGAGGTTATTTTAATGCATCCATTGCTCTTCCCTCCTCCCATGCCTTCTCTTAGTCCTTCCCTGTCCCTCTCTTAACCTGGACATGCACATTATCAGGATTTCCTAAACATGATCTAACAAATAATTGTATTTTAAAAAGACATAAATATAGTCTCTCCAATTCTAGTAAGTACTAGATTATTTTATTACATTTCTTATTTCCAATGGGATCAATTTCCTAAAATAAAAGCTTAGAAATGTTTCTATAAATTTTTATCATACAGAATTTTTAAAAAGTGATAAGAATGGAAAAAGAAATGTTATACTTCCCACACCATGACTGACTCACTGAGCAAGACCGCTGGACAGATATGTGAAAAAACTAAAATGTATAATGGTAACACATGCATGTTTTTAAATCAAACCTATAAAGATTTGAGAAATTAAAAATTTTTAAATATTTAATATAAAAATCTAACAGCACGATACAATATCAAACTAATTTCCACTTCCGTAACAATAACTAGGACTCAATCAAAAAAAAAGGACAGAAGATCCAGTGATTTTAGGAGACATAGTTTATTTACAGAGAGAGAGAGGAAAAAAAAAAAAAAAAGGAGAAAAGGAGAGAAAGGTAAAAAAGGCCTGTGCATTTAAATGGCTACCTCAGCAAATTATCTAGACACTTTATCTGATTGCTAGTCCCAATTTTTTCTATTAATATGTAGGGTAAGAGAAGAATTCAAGGCATTTCATAGTCTGAAATCAGCGCGTTATGCATAGAAACATATTCAGCAGCATTTTCATATTACCTGTAGGTCAAGCTGGGAGACCTTCTCCTTGCTTTCATTTAACTGACTGTTCAGTTCACTGACCGTGGTTTCCAGGGCAAGGACCCGGTCTTGTGCCGCTCTGAGATGCGCCTTCTGCTCCTGTACCTGGTCATGCAAATTCTCCTGGGCTTGCTTATGGCTTTCTGACTGATTCTTCAGCTTCTCTGTTAACTGAGTTACCTATTATAGAAGCACAGCTTTAATTATGAAGTTCACAATTGGTACAATAAAACTGAGAAACCCAAACTTAAGCTCCATTAAAATATGAAGCTGCCTGATGATGGTGATTTCAATTTTTATCAAGTACAACTTTTTCCAATTTTTTCAAAAGTAAATATAGCATCTCAAATCATAAAATACATCTAATCCAAAGATGTATCATTTTAACATCATCTGTACTCAACTATAATTTACATGCTATAAAATTCATCAAACTGAAGTATGCAACCTGAGACCTATCGAGGGTGTGCACTCATTTAGCTGTCACCACAGTCAAGATGAAGAATATTTTCATCATCTCAAAATTCTTCCTCACAGCCCTCACATAATCACAGATTTGACTGAAGAACCAGAACCACCTATGGACGCTGGCTCGTTCTTAATCGCCAAATAGATACATTACAAATGTTTTCTCCCAGACTGCCTTTGCTTCTGTTTTCATATAGGTATATTCTTTGTTTGTGATGCTTTGTTTTTGTTGAAGAAGCTGTGGATTGAAATCAGGGCCTTCCTTGCCTGGGGCAAGAATCCTCCCACTCCCAGTTTTCTAGGTTTATGGTAGGAGGGCTAAATAAGCACCAGCTACTCCAACATGACCAGAAATAAGATGCACATTGAGTGATTTAAATTTGTTCTGCTTAAAACAAACATGGCTAGCTTTCCTCATATTTGTATCATAAGCAATGTCAACCTGTAGATGATATAAGGAAGTTCTCATAAAAACTACCTTAAAAATTCCAAAGGAATTCAAAACTAACTTGGACAAAGGGGAAAAAATGTTATACCTAGTTCCCCAAAATGTGATAGGACCCACTGATACTCTGCTCTAAATATGTGCTTATTTAGATAACAATGATTATCTTACTGGATAACTCTCCAGCAACTGTAAGTTATTATTTCAGTTTGAAAACAGATTAATCTAAATTTTGTTTCTCTTAAACTACACAGGAATTTCTGAATAAAGCAACTTATCAAACTTATTAATTATATTTTGTTCAGAGACATACACTATCAAAATATACATAACTATTTAGTTTGACTATTAACCAATACACAGTATCAACCAACACTTGATTAGTACCTTTGCCTTATTAATATATTTCGTTACTCCTTTTTAAACATAACAAAACACCATCAGGGAAGTATACATTATTAGTAACATCTCTACTTTTACAATGAGCCATCAAGGTGAACTGATTTATCCACAGTCCTACAGAAATAAGTTACTTTGTAGGATATGAACTGAGGGTTCTGTGTGTCAAATCGCGTTAGCTAAAGCTTCCCCACAGTACTGACCCAGCCGTGAAGGAAAATGAGATGGTATCTGTTAGCAACATGTACCAGTTAAAGACTTAAGAGTCAGGATGACGAATGATTTACAGAAAGCATTTAATAAGACTCAGAAAGAGAAAAGTAAATTTTAAAGTGTAATATACTTTATGAGCTTACTTGTTCCTGCAGTGTATGATTTTTTTCTTGCAGCTGGTTAAGAACAGCAGTCTCTCCTTCACCAGCCTGGATTTTGGCATAAAGATCCTCTCTTTCCTTTTCTAGTAATGAAATGTTTTCTTTACTCTTCTGTAATAAGGCTTCAAGGTTCTGTATCTTTTGGTCCTTGTCACCAATTTGACGTAGGACTTGCTCCAAATCATTCTGTAAAGAATTGAAAACTCCTATTTTAAAGACCTCTGGAAAACTTAAGCTATTCCTCAAATGTAAAATGAATGATAATGAATTTCATCACTCAACTCTTTAGTCTTGCAGTTTTAAAACTAATTGTTACATTTTAACATGGCAAATTAAAACCATATATCTGATAACATAAATCCACATTATTAATATGAATTTAACAACACAAAATTGTACTTAGTAACTTCCTCTCCCTGACGCTCTGTCCTCACCTCCGAGCTCTCTGTGCTCTGCGCCAGATGTGGGGGCTCATGACCGCTGCACCGCACCAGGCCCACTAGGCGCCGTCTGGGGGCCAACGCCTCCCTCCTGCCCTGCACATCACTCCTGCTGCACCATGTTTGCTCCACTCCACCCTCTTGGGCAGCCCACTCCCCATGTTACATGTCCTGACTGCTTTTTCTTTCATTTGTCTCTAACGAATTAAATAATGTACTTCTTCACACTTATCTACCTTCTTACACTTCCTGTTAGAATGCTGTACAAAGGTGAGAATTTTCATCTCTTGTATTCACTGATGTCAGATATCTGACATGAGTTCTAAAGTATTCATCGACAAAAAAATTATTAACATGTATACTTTTGTGTAAAAAATGATTAACACTGCAACACATACTTTTTCAGGCTCACTTTAATACCCTACTAGGACTCCTTTATCTATAAATTAAGACTCCCTCTTCCCTCTTCTTTTACTCTACCAACAATCTTAACGTTACACAGAGCACAATGTAATAGCCTACAGCCAGAACAAGACCCAGCTCCATTCCAGACCCTTCGCTGCCGCTCTGTGAACCTTACAGCAGCCCGTACCACCTTGCTGAGACAGAGCCAGTAGCCACCCAGTATGGAAACAGTCACAGATCAGTCACTTTCAGAAATATTTCTCATCCCTCCAAGCATCAGTCATGAGATAATAAAAAGCAACCAATTCTCCCTTCCTTGGTTTCTTTTCCTGCCACCAAAAACAATTTCTCCATATTCCACTATTCTTCTGGAACTACAGTTCTAGGCAGACACTTTTTTCCCCAAAACAGTTATTCTGTTTCTAAGTCTTAAGTGAAACCTGGTTTTCCCTTCAGAGTCCAATTCCACCTCTCTCTTTGTTCAGGAAGCCTTGTCCCGTCGGGCACACACAGGAAAGGATCTCTTCCTGGATGGTCACTGTAAGAGTGCTGCTTTGGAATGCTGATCTTCCTTAATCTATCCCCTATCTGTACTGCTATCATCTATAAATCCCTACCTCATTCACTGAAGACTTGAAACCTGATTTAGTTTTTCTTTCAATCCCAATTTCTGCCAATTTCCTGGGAAATACAAAATACATACAGAATTAAGAGCACAGCCTCAACATAATATATATATATATATATATATATATATATATATATATATATTATCTTAATTCCAGGACTAATTCATTCTACCTTGTAGTAGCACGTATACAAAATAAAATCTTAAAATAACCTGAAAATGTTTCAGGTAAAAAAAATTCCAACTATCTCAGTCTATAACCAAACTTCCTGAGTAGCTTTCAATTTTATGACCTCATCTTCAGAATCAGAGACCTCAATTTCTTTCTAGCTTATTCACTACACCTAGCTTCTCTTCCTAAATCTCCTAGATAGATATGATCTAACAAATATTCTTCCAATCATATTCTCCATTTCCTTTTAGCTCAAAATTTTCAAGGTATCCACCCTCCAAATGACAATTCTAGATCAATTTCTAGATCAATGCTGCAATCTGCTGTCTCTACTCCTGTATTTGCAGGCACCATTAGAACAAAAGCAAAATCCTTCACAAATCTGTGCCACTATAAATTTCTGATTCCAGCCTCTACTATGCCAGCCTCCTCAGAATCATCATTTCAGCCCAATCATTCAAATGAGGGCCTTTATCCTTAATATCTTCTTGATATTAAGGACTTGACCTTTGCTTGCCTGATATTCTGCTAGTGCTATCTCCAGCTTTATCCTGAAGCACATAATTTTCAGGAACGATTTGCTCTGGTTTTCCATTCCTTGACCTATATAATCCTACATGTGTGTTTCCATGTTGATCTCCTCTGCTCAAGCTTGAGTGAGGTTCGAGTCCACACCGCCCATTATGAGTGACATCACAGTTTCTTATTATCAAACTGTATCAGCCCCTTCTCTTCTGTTGCGGGAATAACCTCCCCTTTACCTGCCTCTTTGTCTTGGGCTACAAACACATGTAGATCTCTTTTTCTCAAAAATACTGTCAACTTCAGTCCAGTCTTTACACAATTCACATTTAAATTTCAAAAGTAATTTCACTTACATTCCCAACTCCCTCATTGCTCATTTACTCATCAATCAAAAATCAGATTTTCGTATATCTTTATTTTTTATATATTTTCATATATATCATTTCATGTTGAACAAGGTTATTAATTTGTCATTTTTTCAGGTTATTTTCCTTTTTTTGTATATTAGGGCAGGGTCTACAGGGTGTTCAGGGTCTCACTACTACATCAGACTCATAGTGATCCACCTGTTCACAGCCTCCCAAGGGCTGGGATTACAGGCACGGGCCACCATACCCAGTTTCAACTGCTGTCTCAGCACACCCCAGGGGTGGGGCCGGCAAGGCAGGCCGGGGGACTGAACAGCAGGCTCCTGTGCCTGCTTGCAGGCACTTCAGTCTGCTGAGTTATTTCACCGGCCCTACCAATTTATCTTTGTTTCAACACTCTCACCATACACCAACATGACTCTAATCCCATATGTACTCTAAGTCCACACACTAGCTTCACGATCCTTGTCCTTGCAACACCTATCTGGCATATATTTCTCACTGCCACCATCTTTGCACCCCCAGCTATCTACTCAGTGGCTCAGTCTGTCACTTCTGAGAGATTTCCAGGGCTGCTCTTTCCAGACAGTCTAGGTTAGGTAACCAGCTTCCCTGTCACTGAGATGTGTAAATACAAATTGCAACTAGACTCACTGCATAGGGCAGGGGATATAGCTCAATGCAAAGGCCCTGGCTTCAATCTCCAACACCACACACATACAGTGAAACCTCATGAGGTGAGGAATAAGGAACTAAGCATGTTCAAATGGGTACCCTGCTCTCCCCTCAGCTGGAGAGACAACCTGGTACAAAACGGTGAAAGGAAGCTATTTCCAGATGTGTTTATAGATAACTAAAACTTCAATCTCAAAGTAAGGTATAAGGAAGCTTACTTAGTTGCTGACCTACACCAAATTCTTCATGCTTATTTTACTACTTCATTTCTTTCCTATCATTTACAGCAAAACCCCAGAGTTATCTAGTTTCTCAAACTGCCTCTTCCCATTCTCTCTGAACCCTCTCTAAATTGGCTTTCACCCCACTTCTCTATTCAAATTGCTCTTATCAACATCAGCAAAGCCCCCAAGCTACCAAATCGAAGGGATGCTCTCTTTCATCTCCTCTGACCTTTGGACTTCCCACTGTCCAAGTCCAACTCCTTGGAGCTACTCTTGCCCTCTCTCTCCATGTTCTACATCACCTGTCAGCGCACCAGTCAGCTTCCCTTTCCGTGTCTAGGATCTGTCCGCTTCTCACTACCTGTACTGTTTCCACCATGCCAAGCCACCTCAGTCTGTATCTGGGTTATAGCAGTAATCGTTCATTTCTCTGCTACAACTCATGTGCCAGAACAATCTACTTCAATCGAGCAGCTACAGTAGTCCTGTGAAACTGTAAGTCAGATCATGTCCTTCCTTTGCTCAGGCCCTTGTATGATTCTCATTTTACTAAAAAAAAAAAAAAAAAAAAGTACAATCAATCCTCAGGATCACCTACAAGTTCGGTATGTTCTGACCCTCTGTCATTTCTAGGATGGTGACCTTTTTTGTTCTTATCACTTGCACTGCTGCAGACACCAACTTCCTCTTATGTTCTTCCCACTCGCTCCAGCCACAGGGCTTGAAGGCCCTGCCGATGCCTCTGATGTCCGAAGGACTCCCACTGTCCCTTCCTTCAGCCTCCCACCTTCTCAGGGAGGACACCCGGGCATCCCTACAGCCCTGCGTCAGCTGTCAGCCCAGTGCACACTTCCCACTCCCATCTCTACAGTGCTCACCACTGTCTAACATGTACGTATTTTCCTTATTTACCTTGGTTACCATTTGCCTCCCTCGCTACGCTCCAAGAGAGCAGAATCTGTTCTGTTTGCTGCCATAGTTACAAAATCATCCCTTTGACTGAGATTAGACATGAATACTTGCTGACGGAATAAAAGAACAGATAAATAAATCCAGTATTTTTTCTATCGGTCTGATTACCATGCTACACTCCAAACTCAAAACGCAACAATCCTTCCTGCAGAGTGCTGCGAGGGTCACCTTTCTGCACGCATTGGCAGGGCCACTCCCTAGGACAGGCACGCTGTCCTCATCGCAGCGTGAGCGGTGTCTCAGCAGTGTGGACCAGCACACAGCGAGCAGGCCGAAGCGTGAAGGGACGAAGGAATAGCAAAGTCAAATTTACCTCAAATAGCTTGCCCTCACCAAACAAAACGAAAGCTCAACTTCCTTAAATCTTCTAAAGTACACTGTAGAGCTTGTATAAATGTAACTCAATCAACTACATTTTCAATATCTAATATTTCAATGTTCACATGATGGTTAAAAAGACACATTCAAAAATATTAAAATTTTTTGTAGGAAATAAAAACCTTTTTTAAAACTAGGCTAACTAAACCAGGAAATTTTATTTGACTATCTAATTTTTTCCAAATAAGGTATTTCAGTAAATAATAAATATTTTTCAATAACTTAAATGAAATTTTTAACTAGATATATTCAATGTTTTAATTTAATACAAAATGTTCTAACAAGGACATTTAATAGTTAAATACTTTATATAAATTTGGGGGTTTGGGGCTCTTTTGTTTTGTTTATTTTGAGAAAGGGTCTTGCTATGTAGCTCAGGCTAGCTCTGAAATCAGCACGTAGCCCAGCCTGGCCTTGAACTTGCCACAGTCCTCCTGACTTAACCTCCCGAGTGCTGGGATTCTAGACATGTGCCACCATGCCTAGCCTACACATTTTGCTTAAAATTAACACATGTCCATTACAAATAACATTTTAAACTATTTTAACTCTTCACCACAATAAAAGTATTTTCTTATTATCCAGACACTGAAATGATCAAAGTGTTTTATAATAAATTATTTTATATTATCTTGTTCCATCACAACATTAGACTAGTAATTTGGTCTAATTTTTGCTAACAATGTTAATTACTAAAAAATATACCTGAGCTTCTCGTAGTTTTGCTGTAGTGCTTTGTTGAAGAGCTTGTTGTTCTTGATGCTGTTGTTTTGTTTTATCTAATTGATGCTGTAACTCCGTGGAATTTGTTACTTTTTCCTTCAACTTAAAAAGAAAAGTAGCACCTTATTACTTGTAGAATGTTAATCTCATAAAGAAACAATTCTCTAACAAACACTCTTATCCTGAAAAGAATGTGAATCTTTTTCTAGATTAGCATTTAATTTATTATTATTATTTATATTAATATGGCCAAGCAATTAATTACTTACAATTTATTTGTAACAATTACCTACAATTAGTTCTAAAAGAAAATCTATTGCTGAAGCTATAGGACTTTAACCCTGAATATTTGTTCAACTCAAATAAAAGATATAATCTAAGAATGTTTACTTCAAGCGCAGAATGTAGGCCACTTCGAGCAACAACTGTACTTAGGACAGCATTCTAGACACTGCATGCTTCATTATTAAAACTGAAAATCGTAGGACCCAAACCCCAAATGATTCGCACACCCCTGCAGACATCTGCAATGGTCGCCAACTGGGCAGAGCTCACTGCCCAGCAGGAGCAGCCCCCCCTAGCTAAGCACACCCCGAAGCCTCACAGACAGCTTCTTAGTTTCTCCTAACCCTAAAGAAACAGTCCCCTTTTTGTATTTGTGTTGGGAACTTTACCAAATTTGATCACAACAAAATGTGGTGACTTGATGTACTGAGTAGGATGATTTTATTAAAGAGAAATACCTGCTGTGATTTAAAGTGCAAAAAGTCTAATGCAGTTGACAATGAAAAGACTGTGAATCATCACCATATTTAAAAATGTTTTGAGCTTGTTAATAAACCTACTAATATCAGCCCATTTGAAATGCCAGCTCACCTGTTCTTCCAAACGAGAAAGTTTGAGCTGTAGGTCAGCTACCTGCTGTTCTTTATCCATCAATTTTTCACTTGAAAGCTGTCTCTGCTCCTTCAGCCGACCATGAGCTTCTCCAAGCTGGCGTTCTGCCTCCAAAAGCTTGCTATGTAACTTAAAAATAAATTAAAATATGCACATTTATGTATATACGTGTAAACACACATACTATCTACATTACCAAAACAATACTTTATTTTTCAGTGATATAAGTCTACTATCTTAGGAGAGAGGAGATGGGGAAAAAAATGATCAAGATATATCATGTACAGGTGTAAATTTCCTATGATAAATGTGACCATTACATATATCTAAATTGTAATAGTAAATTTAAATATATACTATCCTGATGTTTAGAATACTTTGGAGAAATCTAAGGGCTTACATAATAATTTAAATAGCAATACAATTTTAATTATAAATTATAATCGTGCTCACTTCAGCAGCACAAATACTAAGTTATAATTAATCACAGTAAATTATGACTAAGCATGACACATTTTATTGTTTCACTGGTTTAAAAAAACAAAGAAGACCAGACTCTTGTTTGTGTATAAGTGTAGGATTCAGTTGAGGCAATTAATAAAATCTAAAACTTAAGATACTAAGCATACAGCGCTGAGAAGATAGCACCTGCCTCACAAGCACAAGATCCTGAGTTCAATCCCTGGTACCAAAAGGAAAAAAAAAAAAAAAAAGATATTTATAGTACATTCAGACCTACTTCACAGTAGTTTTGAAGATCAACCATGATTCTTTTTGGTTTTCTATAGATTAAAAGCCACTATAATTGACTTCTCACATTTGGATGTTATACAGATTTTCAATACTCAAATTGGCATAACTTCTAAATAAAATAGAGAAAACAGTACAATTTTTAAAAAACAAGGGCCGGCCAAATAGCTGAACAGATTAAAGCCCCCGCTAGCAGGCGCAGAGATCAGGGGTTTGATCCCCGGGGCCTGCATGCTGGCCCCGCCCCCAGGGCACAATGAGAAGGCAACTGAGGCTGGGCATGGTGGTGTGTGCCTGTAATCCCAGCACTTGGGAAGCAGAAAACAGGAGGATCACTATGAGGCCAATCTAGTAGTGACCTTGAACACCCTGTAGACCCTTCCCTAAAAATATAGAATAAATAAATAAATAAATAAATAAATGTCTGTTTTTTTAAACAGAAAAAAATTTAAAAACAAATGCTAGATAATACTTATAACTTTTTGCGGAACCAGGGATTGAACTCGGGCCCTGCACTTGCCAGGGAAGCGCTTATTCCACTGAGCCATCTACCCAGCCCAAATTAACTCTGAAGATATCCCAGGAGAGAGCTTCCACCTACCCTGTACCTGCGGGACCTACTGGTCCCAGCCCAGGTGCAGCGTAGGTGACACCCTCTTTCACCCTCTTGCGATGCCCCCCATCACTCCATCGTACCCCCACACACACACATACCGTCCACAGAGTACGAATTTCTGTCTCGTTCTGGGAACCCTCAGATCCAGTCCTAGTCCAGCCCCAGTGAGTGTGTGGGAGAGCTGCCTCTCCCCGCTACTCCAGCTTGCCCCCCCACCCCCAAGACTCAGCTCTGGCCTGGCATACAGGCCTGGGGTGAAACCCTGCAGCTGCAATCCCTGCAGACAGTGTAGGGGACAGAACCACCCAGCTAGTCTAGGAGGAGAACATCTTGCCAGAGGAGCACAACAGGTTCACCCCCAAGGGCAGCAGCAGGAAGGAGCTGAGCACAGCAGCCAAACCCAAGCCAGGCACAGCTGGATAAATCCGAACTTTGTAGATCTGCACCTGAACTTTGGCAGGTGCTAAGGTTATAACTGCAACAAAGATCTACAACAAAGGTCAGAAGATAGTGCTACACAAAATGACAACGAGAAGGAGCAAAATGCCATCTCAGAACCCAAGCCCACCCATAACAAGTGCAGAGGACACTAACACAGAACAAAGTGGGAATCACACAGCTGAAAGCAATGAATCAACGGCTTCTGAAATAAAGAAACAGCTGCAGAAAGGTATAGAGGAACTCTGATTAGAAATGAAAAAAGCAATCCTTAAATTAATAACATCTGCAGTAAAGACTCAAATGCAGAAACATATGGAGGAAACCCAATGCCCACCCAGAACAAGTACACAGGACACTAGCTCAACTCAAATGTATGAATTAATAGCGTCGATAGTAACTAAAGAACAGCAGAAAGTAATAGAGGAACTCAGGGTGGAATTCTTTTCTACTAGCTCAGCTCAAATGTACGAATTAATAGCATCAGTAGTAAATAAGCAACAGCAGAAAGTTATAGAGGAACTCAGGCAGAATTCTTTTCTAAAATAAAAAAGAATTCTCAGAACTCATAGCATCTGGAAGTAAAGAAGCAACTACAGAAACATAAGGAGGAAACCCAAACTGAAAAAAACACTGCAGTAAAAGAA